TAAATAAAATGTGATGATTTGTGAAAAATGATATTTAAATAACAGCGTTCAATATTTTTTGTTTGAAAGACACGAATATAAAGACGATATTCTAAAACTTTTGTTACCTTATTTTGAATTGAGATTCTATAAAAATAGAGAGTGAGATTTTAATGTTGTTCGTTGTTTCTAAGAAAAAAATAAAAATAAAACTCAAAACATGTACACTTAATAGATCGTAGCCAGATTTTTTTTAAAAAAAATCCCCCTATATATTAATCCAGAACGCGTTGAGTCTATGTGGCTGTTTCTGGTGCTTCGAAATCTTATGTGGCAAAATTACATGTTTCGTTATTAGGCTTGGGTAAATTTTAATTTAATTCCAAACAAAAAATAATTAGGTTTGAATTAGCATAAATATGTTGATTATTTATGATCATGTTACATGCATTAATTGCATTTTAATATCATTCTATAACTATTGAATTGTATATGTATTTTAAAAGTTAATAACTTTTGTGTTTTTTATCTGTTTTACATATGTAATATATCAAATTAATCTTCTTTTGATGAGCTTCGATTTAACATCCATAATGTATATATAAAAAAATAATATATATTTATCTTTATAACAATAATAAATTTATTTTTAATATTAATTAGAAAAATAAAATTATTTATCAACTAACATTTATATTTCAAGTAGTTATATGATATAACACATGTAAATCATAAGTAACACATATCATTCGAAAATATATAGTAATATATTTATTTTTGTAAAAAAATAAACTAAATTTAATATAATTTTCTCATTAATTTTAAAATTTAAAAATAATTTTTTTTAAAAAATAATTTTTTAACAAGCTACAGTATTTATGCAATTGTTCGAGACCTTCTGAGCCTTGTATTCGTGGTCTGTGTAGCTAAGCACACAGGGTCCGGACGATTTACTTGTTTGTAGAGAATTCCTAAGCGCGCACATGTTAAGAGAGGGATTTCAAATCCCGATCGATTCCTTGTTGGTCCGGTACATCTCCTTTTTGTAGAGAGTCCGAAGCTCGCACACATTGATTCGCTCATACGAGTGTCTTGATTCTTTTCCTGGGGCAGTTCATCAAAGCTGAGGGTCACAATAGTATTTCCACATACAAAAACTACAGCAAATGCATCATATACACAAATTTTCGATTAATTTACCAAAAGAAGTATCCTTCTTGAAATGCAGTGCTTTTTGTTGGGCTTTGCAAAGAGTAATATACAACTTTTAGAACTAGAATTGGAGGGGTGCGCCAGGCCGGAGCAATAGTGCAAAGCTTGGGCGACGCGTGAAGGCCCGAATAGCAAGCTATACTTTGGGCCTTCCCCCTTAAAAAATTAATTTAATATCATGTGGGCCGATAGCCCACGTATCAGATATTAAACTGATAAGAACAGATACTACACTTGATCTTAGCCAAAAGGCCGAGAAAGGTATGCTTTACTAGGGGCCAGGGCGACTTCTTATATAGGTTGGTTGGTTCTAATTTTTTGCTTCTATAAGCGATGTGGGAGAAAAAAGTTGAAAGACATGAGGAACAAAACTTTCAGACATAACACATCATTTTCTTTCAAATTATTTAAATGTGGTTGAAATTTTCAAAATGTAACTGACAATTTCAAAACGAGAATTGTAGTTTTAACTTTTAATGGATATGAAGAAGAATCTAGCAATCTATTAGTAATGGCCTAAAATTAAAAGTAGCATAATACAATATTCTATAAGTAAAAAATCAAAAACAAAAACATAAAATTTTATAGACAACAATAATTTCACAATTCTTGATATGGTCGTTTTAAATGTTTTTATTCAGAATAAAAATAAAATAGTGATCGATTCAAATCAAACATGTTTTACTATTTTATTACCTATTCATTAATAGTTGTTATGAGAGTTAGATAATAACATATATATTTCAAGTTTCACTTAGATTTTAAATTAACATTAAATAAAATATTCAAACCATGTATAATTTAATGGTTAACCTAATTCAAAGAAAACAAAGGACCAAGTATCTCTCCTATATCTAATTTCCGAATGCGCTGAGCCTACGTGGCTGCTTCTGGTGCTTCAGAATCCTTCTTGGCGAAAAATCATGCTTCGTAATTAGGTTTGGACAAATAATATTATTATATTAATAATTAATAATCTAGGTTATGACATTCCATAAATATTATTTAGCTAACTTAGATATTTTAATATCATTTGTACTAATATAACCCTTTAATTTTTTTGTAATTTTACATATTGATGCACTAAGTGACTAATATATCCCTGACTTTTGATTTGTTTCCTTCAATTAGCTATTGAATTGTAAATGTATTTTAAAAGTTGATAACTTTTGTATTTCTTATCAGTTTTAGATATATAATATATCAAATTAATCATCTTTTGATGATGTTTGATTTGACATCTATATTGTATATATGAAATAAATAAATTATATTTATCTATATAATAATAAAAAAATAATAATATTTATTAAAATTCATTAGAAAATTAAACTATTTCTCAATTGATATATTTATGTTTAATGTAGTTATATGTTGTAAGTTAAAAAATTATTATAATATAACACAGGTAAGTTGCACAAGTAAAATGTTTCATACTAAATATATAATAATATATATATTTATAAAAGTATTTAAATTTTCAACTATTTTTCTCATTAGTTTTAGATTTTAAGGAAAAAATTAGCATGCACCCGTGTAATACATGGGCATTGTACTAGTAAATAAATTAAAGTCCAAAATTTAAGACAATATTTAATGATCTATGATTTTATAAAGATAAAAATAAAAAAAATATAAAACTTACTATTATGGATTGCATTAAATTCTGTCATTTTTTTTCTATTATATTTGGTAAATGATTATTCTTATTATATATATAGATATATAGATATAGATTCCATAAATGATGAGAAAAAAAGGGAAAATTTGTCACAAATTTTATGAATTAAATAAATAACTATATTTATTAACTAATTACTAAAAATATCAAATCTATATATATATATATATATATATATATAATTACTAGCCACTAGCATTTAATAAAACCTAATTAATTTTACCTATGTGGCAATTTAACACTTTTTCCTCCAAAAACCGTTACATTTTTATGTATTTAATCTTTTATTTAATTATTAAATAATCAATACTAATCACTTTAAAATTACAAAAATTATTTTAAACTTTTATTAGTGACAGTTGACCATATAATGTGTTGATCCTATAATGTGATTAGATGTTATTATTGTGGTTACATTTACATTAATTTTTTTTTAAAAAAAAATAAAAAACGTATTTGAAATTCCTAAAAAAATGATAAATAATTCAAATAAAAAATATGTACAAAAATATACATTACATCCAATCAGATAACGCAATTGAAAAAAAATATTTTGTTGAGAGAAGATGACAATATGACATACGAATTAAAAACGAGAAAGTAAACAACACAAGATTTACGTGGTTCGGCAATGTGCCTACGTCCACGACAGCTGAGCGATATATTTTATTATGAATCATTCTCAATACATCAATACACCATGTATTTATACCACAACCCTACAAGGTATAAGTTTACTTAAATACCCCGTACCGTACCGCGGGGACTCTGCCCCTGCGCCCCCGGCTCAACTAATCGACACAGCCCAACAGGGGTTGATGTCTGCTCGCTCTGCTCCGCTTCCCTCGCTACGCTCGCAGGCATCAGTCTGTCCCCTTTATTTGTCAATATATAAGTCATACCAACATATTTCAACTTCTTTATTTATAAATTTGGTATGCAAAAAAGTAAAAAAAAAAAATATAATTATTATTATATGCATACAAATAACTCACGATACTTTATTTACGTCTGTATCAAATACTAAGAAATAATTTGTGAGCCGCTGTACAAAATCCATATTCCATACTAGGGTTGTAAACAAATCAAACTTTTTTGATTCGATTCGAGTTCGAATTCGATATTCGTGATTCGAATTCGAAATATTCGAATTCGAAATCGAATACAAATAATGTTTTATATTCGAAAGTTAAACGAATCCGAGATCGAATATTCGATTCGTTAAAAATAATTACAAATTTTTTACAAATTATATATAGTATACATTTTGTTTATATATAAGAATATATTGTTATATTTTTAATATTTTTATGACATGAAATTTAAAAGCATCCTAAATTAACAATTTTTTTTTCTAAAAATATATGCAAAATAAAAATTATTTTTTGTAGTTATAATATTTTTTAATATATTTTTTTTTTTGAAAACAAATTTCGAATCGAATCGAGAATTTCGAATCGAATCGAATATGTTCAAATATTCTAAACGAATCGAATATGAATAAAAAAATGAATTCGTTAACGAATCGAATACGAATTCAAACCTTCGAATATCTTAACGAATTCGAATCGAATATCTGAGTATTCGCTTTAATTCGATTCGTTTACAACCATATTCCATACACCTTGCACATGTCGGCACGTCATCTCCATTTATTAAATAATTGGCCCCCTTTTTATTACACGCACCACACACACACACAAAAGACGCATTGTTTGCGTGTCTCTCTCTGTGTGTGTACATATATGTGTGTTTCTCTGGTTCATCGTCTCTTTGAAACGTGATTCGTCTTCTTAATTCGCATGTGAAAAGCTGTTCGACTCTCTCAATTCTTCTCTGTAGATCTAATCGCTAGGTCTGTAAAGGGGAAAAGATAAAGAGCGAAGAAAAACCAAGAAGAAGAAGAATTAATTTACCTGTAAGCGCTTTTCCCGTGTTTTATTCCTTTTTATTCCAATTTTCTGTATTGAGACTCTGTTTTGAGTTTGGAGTTTCAATGGGCTTTGTTCAATTCAGTTTTTAGGGTTTTGCTTGATTTTTTGGTGTGCACAGAGCTCTTTATGCTTAGGGATTTTACCAGCGAATCATTGTATTCCTGGAAATATAAAGTTTGAAGATTCTCATTAATATGGATAAGGATAAGCCTCACCATGGAAGTGGGAATTCACTTCCTCCGTCCGGGAGGTATTCTGCTTTCTCGCCACCAAAGGGTAGTTTCAACATGAAACCGGATCAAGTGGGAACGTTGAATTTGCCTCCATTAGTGCCAGGCAGCTCACCCGACCAGGGTCAGTTTGGTGACCTAAGCCGTATGCCCGATAACCCGCCTAAGAATCTGGGCCATAGGCGTGCTCACTCTGAGATTCTGACCCTTCCGGATGACATCAGCTTTGATAGCGATCTAGGTGTTGTGGGAGGATTGGATGGGCCGTCCTTTTCTGATGATACTGAGGAGGACCTACTGTCATTGTATCTTGACATGGATAAGTTCAATTCTTCCTCCGCAACTTCTGCTAACCAAGCATGTGGTGAGTCGTCTAATAATGTGCTGGCAGGCGAGTCGGGTTCATCTTCTGCTACACCATCCGGATTTGCCAATCAGTCGGGTGATAATGTAGGTGCGGTTATCAGTGAGAAACCAAGAATAAGGCATCAGCATAGCCAGTCCATGGATGGGTCGACTACCATTAAACCGGAGATGCTCGTGTCAGGTTCAGAAGATCCTTCGCCAGGTGATGCTAAGAAAGCGATGTCTGCTGCTAAGCTTGCAGAGCTTGCTCTTATTGATCCAAAGCGTGCTAAGAGGTAAAACATTCATTTTCACGCTGGTTGCTTTTGTTGATTTTTGATCTTGATGTGGAGTTTAATTTGTAAATGGATTTGTTGAACACTGAATTCTTTTCTACAGTTTGATGGGTAGTTGAGTGTTGGTGTCTGCTTGTCAAGGAATTTGTTCTGTCCTTGTTTTGGATCAAATTGAAGGGGTGGAGCAATTTGTGATTAATGTAGTTTTTCTTTGGGTAGTTAGGAAGCTTCACAAGGACAATTTCACTTTAATCCTGCATATGCAATATGTGGATGCGATATTTAAATGATTTGTGGTGGAGCCTTAAATGGTTACATACGTCATGGTTACTTACGTCCTTTGGCACGTGGTATGTAATGGTGGTACAATGAAATATTTCAAAGATGAGAGATCAATGAAGAATAATTGAGTTTCTTTCAGTGCATCAGGAGTTAAAAACTATAAAAAGAGTATCTTACTAAATGTTAGATCAGTAATGCAGGTAAAGTAAGATGCTGCAGTGCTGTGTGCTCAAACATATAAGTAATTTTGAAATACATTTTCCTAACATTATTATTTTATTGGGGTCACTGTCGAATACCTTCAGCATCTCAAGGATTGAAATTTATATCAAAGGCCAATCTTGATAGCAAATTTTAGTAATTTGATCTCTGAGCATTGAGTAGGATGCTGCAGTCCTCATTCCTATAATAATTTTGCTAGAATGACATGATGTCATTATTTTTTGTTGTAGAGTCGCTTGTGCTACGTCTTTGACATATTCATCCTGACCAGACATTGTCATTCGAGTATGATTTATTCAAATCAATGAAGATGTTAGAAACTGCTCCGTCGGCCTGTACTGAAGGGTCCAATACTATAGTTGAGTTGGATTGAAATGGATATATGAGATCCTAATACCTTTTTCCTGACATCCATAAAGTTCAATATGATAGGGAAGTAAGTTTATCAATTAGTTCTTCCTTGCTGGTCCCTTTCCTGATGCGGACAAAAGCTTCATATGAGATAAATTTAATAAGATGCTTGAAATTGATTGAATTAATATGTAGGAGTCTCCATGGTTTCTGTTCAGTCCTTATATTTTTTATGTTTGTAAAAGAATAAATTTATTCTAATATACTCAAAGTTTGTTTTTTTAGTTAACTAGGGTTAATTTAGAAAAAGTAGTATAGTTAGTTGTTAGTGGGATTTTGAGTTTATATTATAATAATATAAAATAATGAAAGTTGAATTGATGTAAAAGTAGAAGAGAGATGATATGAAGTGATGGCTAGTTAAAATTATGTGAGTGGGTGAATAGTGATATAAAAGTAGACATGATGTGTAAAAATGATTGGTTGTTATTATTTAATTATATTGATAATATTGAGGATAGTAAGGTTGAATTAAAATTGAATTAGATTTTGAGTATGAATTAATTTGGATTGAGTTTTTCCTTTTACAAACATAGCCTTAGTGTAATACTGAACCAAGACTGTTCTAATGAAAGGTCCTTTGATCTGTTACGCGATTTTAGGATCTATTTACATGAAAAAAAATTATCGCGGCTTCCTTAATTATGTTGGCAACAGTTATAGCTTTTATGTTGAATGCATCAGCCTACATTTTGTTGGAACATTGAAATTACTCAGCTGTATATATATATTTTTTACATGTGGATGATTGGTGATATGTTTGTTCGCAAGTTGTAACCATTATGCTTATTCGCATGAAAGAACTATAGTCATGATTTCGCGAACTATCATGCTTAATAATATTTCCTTTCATCTCTGTCAGTAGTTACATCTTTTGGATTGGTATTACTGTGTGGGTTACATTGTCACATCAAGTTCAACATTTTGATGACTGTTCTTGTTATGAGAAAGATGCTATACTTATGTCATATTCTGTTCCAATATTCATAATATTGAATGAAATAAATGACGAAAGCCATGAAGTATGTTGGATGGATGTACTTTGGAGATAACCATTAAGAATTATGTATGCCAAAATCATTGTTCTTTTTTCCATAGCTATCTTAATATTAGGTTTAATCACTTCATGTTTAATAAGTGTCTATCTTCTCGTCCTATTTCTGAGTACATTTAGCTTGTGCATGTTTGCAGTTAGGTATCTGATGATAAAACGTTAGAAAACACTTGAGATATTTTGTTCCCTCGCATGCATGTACATGCACTTTCGTGTAGTGTTGTCAATGGCGGCAGGCTGAAATCGTCATAGAGCCATGGGGTTTTGTAACGCCACCTGAACTGCAATTGTTTACATGTGCTTTTTGGTTACAGGATTTGGGCAAATAGGCAGTCAGCAGCAAGATCAAAGGAACGTAAGATGAGGTATATTGCCGAGCTTGAAAGGAAAGTCCAAACTCTGCAAACAGAAGCTACTTCTTTGTCTGCTCAGTTAACCTTACTACAGGTGATTTTTAGCCTAATTTTCATTTACTTATTGTGTCAATTCGTTTTGGTTAGAAAGATGAGCTCTTTGGATGAGTAGGTTAGGTCATTTTGGTGATATACGTAAAACATATCCATTCGTAAATCATATGGATGTTGCATGTGTATCTCAATCTGAACAATCATATTTTGGTTTTGTTGACAAAGTTTTTCCAGGATTTGTGTTTAAACTATTTTTTTATGGACCGATATGCATCATGACATGTAATTCATTTTCTTCCCGGCTGCATCTTTTTCCTAATTCTGCCTATCGACTTTCAGCAAGAGTACTGCAGCGGTAAACTGAATGCTTCTTATTTGTTTGAAACAGAGAGATACAAATGGTCTTACTGCTGAAAATAGTGAACTCAAACTACGCTTGCAGACAATGGAACAACAAGTACACTTGCAAGATGGTAAATATCTACTGCTTTTACACTAATTTTTTCTTCCTCTTCTTTTGTTGCACTCCATTACAATGACACATACATGGAGCTTACACCAGTGGTGCTTATCTACAAAAAAAGTAGCTGCTACCCACTATATAGTAAGGGAGTACTAGACATCACAAAAAGGAAGTGATTCATAAGTTTCAGTTGGAACATTAGTAAGAAAAGGTCACATAAGGGTTTGCAAAGTGCTAGTTTCTGGTTTTCAGATTAGATTTCTGATTGAGTTTCTATTCTGGCGTTTGCACACAAATGATGTACTTTACGATTTCCCAACCAAACACTTGTTCAGTTTTGGGATTCTTTTTGCATACACTACCAACTCCGGTGACTTTTTGCTTCTACTTCTGAAAGAAGAATGTATGCAAACACTTACTAAAAGTTCCCAAACTTAATTATCTTCATTTGTGATAATTTGGGTTCGGATAATATCGTCACAGCTCAAATGCACAAAACGCCACTACTATCAATTTTATTTTTTACTGAAAAAACGCACATTAAAAAGTGTTATATTGCTTGCCCTTGAAATGAAATACTATAGCACTGAACGATGCACTGAAAGAAGAGATCCAACATCTGAAAGTGCTGACTGGACAAACAATGACCAACGGTGGGGCCATGATGAATTTCCCGCCATCTTATGGAGCTAGCCAGCAACAGTACTATGGAAACAACCAAGCCGTCCACACCCTGCTGACGGCTCAACAACTGCAGCAGCTTCAGATACATTCCCAAAAGCAGCAGCCTCCGCAGCAGTTTCAACAGTTTCAGCAGCAGCAAGAACAGCTGCAGGCGGCTAACTTGAAGCTTAGAAATTCTATGTCGTCCTCTGTTCAGAAAGATCACGGCCCAGATGCGTCTTCCATTAATTAACGAGAACGTTAATGTGGTATCGCTGATTTGTTAATTGGCTGAATCTTTGGTGTGACTGGTTAGGTTTCCATAGCTTGGTGACTTTTGGTTAGTCTATTCTTAGGTGAAAATAACTACATGATGTGGGTTGCACTAGGAAGTTTATTTTGTTACTACTTACTAGTTTGTATATTAACTTGGATGTTTTGTTGTTTTATATTCCTGTGATGTCTAGGGTACGAACTTTCTGTGGGTACAACTGGTTTTATTGAGTTCTTTTGGACTCTCTATCTTATGACAGACAATTATTCCTCCTTTAGGATTAGACATGGCGGGCCGGTTCATCCCGAACAATCCCTGAACCGGCCAGTTTATCATGGGCCACCACGGGCTGGTTTAGGTTCACATAAACATGATTTTTTGAACCGTTGGGCTGATTCAGGATGGTCCGGAACCAACCTTGGAGAAGCACGTCAATTTTTTATTTTTTCAGGTCAGGCCGGGCCTACTCTGAACCATTGACGGCCCGATGGCCACATTAAATCTGGGTCGTTGGATCTTTTTTATCATTGGAAATCCAACAAGCAGATTTTATTTATTTATTTTTTAAAATACGGGTCTGGGGTTCGGGTCCTATTTCGAATTGGCCTGCCTAGAACCGCCAATCGTTAGATTTTTAAATCTGATTGTTGGATCAACTCGATCTTTGAGATTCTACTGCCACGGTTAAACTGACTCGTCTGTACTGTCGGGCGGAACCAGAACCAACGATTCAGTTAATAAAATAAATTCAGAAAAATGAGAAAAAAACCTATATAAATACCCTCATTGAATAAGATTTTCCACATCATTTATAACATTCCTTCACTTTACTCATTTCTAAGTTCTTGAAATGCTCCTTTTGGGCTTTTGTGATCAATTTTTGCTATAAAATCATGTAGTTTCTATATAAATTCGGTTCTGATTTTATACATTCACTCTTATTTCTGTTTCGATTATATAAATTCTTTACATTATACTCTCTCATTTCTAATTTCTATCGCTTTCACTCTTCTTTTTTATTATATAAATTCTATTCTCCAAGACCAAGTTATAAAATATGGAGATTTCGTGGCGGCGGTGGTGGTAGTGGTACCAATGATCGGCCACAAAAAGCAAAAAAATGTAGGCGGATCTTCGAGTAGACCTTTATTCTGACGCAGACATAAACAATATACCGGGATGTTCCGACTCTGCCCGATAATATTGATCCCGAAACGGTAGATCGCGTCTTTCACTCCACCAGCTAATTATAACTTATACTATTTAAGATAACAGTTTAATATGAGCTATTATTTAGCAGATGATATATATCCGAAGTAGTCCACTATTTTTCATTGTTTTCTTGCATCATCAAATCAAATGGAAGAATTCTTTAAAATGAGCAAGAGGCATGTAAAAAAGATGTTGGGTGTGCATTTAGAGTTCTACAAAAAAAGGTTCGCAATCGTCGTGGGTCCTGGTCGTTTCTGGAAAAAAAGGGTGCTTAATAATATAATGAAGTCATATATTATTTTGCACAATATGAACGTCGCACATCAACATAATCCTACTGCACCAGTTAGAAATGGTGTTCAATTTGGTGCTTCTACGGTTACTCAAGCACCGTGAGTGCTACTCCAACACCGCGAGATCACGTCTCTTTTCAACAATTTCTTGCTCGACACAAAAGAACCAAGGATAAGCATGTCCACTTTGAACTTCACAATTCATTAATTGCACATTTTCGGGAAAAATATTTTCATGACAATAACTAGTATTGTATTTTATTTTCCGTAGTTGTTATAGTATTGCATGCTTCATGTTTGTGTTGATGTTTTTTTTTTTGTTATAATATTTTTTATGAAATTCATGTAAAGTGTTCGGGAAAAATATTTTCATGACAATAACTAGTATTGCATGCCTTATGATGTAAAGTGTAATTTTATGGTTTTAATGTAAATTTATTAATTAATCTTATTAATTAATAATTAATATATATATACATAAATATGTAAATTTTATGTAAATGTAATGCATTATTTGTAAAGACTATTTAATAAAATCATAAAATTAGAAAAGAATATGCTAGAATATTTTTTTGAGTGGAATTATAGAAGGAATGAGTTGAAGTTACAAGCATTGGTGAAACTGTAGAACTAGTGAGATTTCACTATGGAAATTCTAAAAAGAGAATTTCTGGTTGGAGATGCTCTTAAAAATGAAAGTTTTTTTTTTTTTT